ACTGCCATTTGTGACAATATGGTTGGACCTTGAGATAATCATGCTACGCGAAATAAGCCAGACAGAAAAATCACATGATATCACTTATATGTGAGATATAAACCTAAAAGCAACAAATGAACAGAACAAACAGAGACTCTTGGACATTGAGTATAGACTAAAGGTTACCTAAAGGTAGGGGGTGGGAGGATGGGGAAATTAGACAGGTTAAAGGGGGTCAAATATGTGGTTACAGAAAGAAATCTAAGTATGGGAGGTGAACACATAATGTAAATATATATGTGCCTTACTCTTAAAGTGTACATCTGAAACTTACTGGATTTTGTTAACCAATGTCACCATAAAAAAATTAATTAATTAATTTTTTAAAATCGCTGAAGACAGTGTCTCTGGGTCCCTTCTGGTTCCCAAAGCAGCTTTTCAATAATCAGAAAAATCCTAGTCAGTCTACTTTTGGTGCGTAATGTAATTTTTATTTTCGTTTTTTGAAAATAGCTAACTCTATTAACCAATCGTACCCCATTCCCCAAGCATGCTGTATAGTCTGCCTACCTATTACTCTATGACAAACTATAACTTAGTGACTTAAAACATAACCATTATAAGATTTTTCTGGATGGAAAAACCAGGACTCAAATGGGTCTTATCCTCTTTCCTACAGTATCAACTGGGAAGGCTCTGCTGTAACAGGCTAATCTGGAGGTTCCAAGACAACTTTAATCATATGCATGGCACCTTGGCAGGGAAAGATAAAACACTGGGCTCTGCTAGATCCCTCCCTTTCCATTTACACTAAGATCCTCCTGACATGGTCTCTACAGCACTGCAGTCGGACATGTTACCTGGTGACTTGAAGCTTCCATAGCAAAGGTTCCCAGAGATAAGTGGAAGGCCTGGGCCTGAAAACAGTTACAACATCCCTTCTTCTATCCCACTGTTGTTCAAAGCAGTTCTAGAGCCCATTCAGATTTCAAGGGGATGGAACATAGACCTCACTTGTCAATGGGAGGGCTGTCAAAGAATTTGTATCCACCTTTAATTCATCACATTTGGAAAAATAATTATATAGAAGTATTCTTTTTACTCATCTGCCATGTTTTTCAGTACACTTGAAATTAAATTAATTTATTAAAACAATTGTCATACCACATTGAGCGGCAGTGCAGTGGTTAAAAGCATTAGAGTTAGATCATCCTGAATTTCAATCCTCGGTCTGCTTTTTACTGACTGTGTAAACTTCAGCAAGTAATTAAACCTCTCTGAGTCCCAATTTTTTTTATTTATAAAATGAATGATAATAACAGTACTTAGCTAACAGTTCTTTAGGATTGAGATTATATAAAAGACTTAGCACACTTTAAGTGCCAATAAACAATTATAGTGATAATAATTGATGATACAGCATTATAACTGTTTGCATAGCTGTTTCCAAACTAACTAATGGGGTTGAAAATATTGTCTTACTCATTTCTTCAATCCAAATACCTGGTAGAGGGCTGGGCATCAAAATTTTTAACGAATAGACATATGGATGACTTGATGGCAGCATAGAAATGGTATTTGCTTCCATTGTAACTCCTTGGCTCAGAAGTGTACAGAGAATGGAGAATGATAATATTGCCAGGTAACTACTCTAGGTTGAATAAGTGAAAGTTGCTAGGCAGCAGGAAGGCTTAAGGCTGCACTGAAACATTACATGATTTTAACTCTGAGGAGCAAGCTAACCCAAATAAAATATAGCATTTGCAACATTTCCAGTAAGCTGGGACTTTGGAAAGTGCATGAATCAGAAGAGGGAATACAAACTAATGTTTTCTGACAGTTCCACCAATGGCTGTGCCAAGAATCAAGAAAGTAGTAGAGAAAGGGTGCTAGAAGAAGAGATGGTAAAAACAAAATAGCACAGGCTATATATTGTGGAAAAAAGACTCTGGAGGAATACCTTGGTCTTTTCCACAACATTTTTATAAAATGATTTGAAATTTTCAGAAGTTTAAATTCCTAACATAAGTGGTGATACTAACTACTTATTAGTAGTACTTCTCAAGCCAGATCAGGGTCCTGGAAAAGGGAAAGAATTTCTCTGGTGTGTTATTCCCAATGTGTTTTAAATTGTTGTACTTCTTTGATTTTGGGGGTTCTACAATGCTTGTGTAAGGCCCATGATTTAAAATGGTTATGTTCTTGGTTGGCATTGGAAAGTCACATCTACTTTGGTGCTTAATGGTTGACAATAAACAAAAGAAATAATCACTATGATAGGAATATCATGTACAACTGCCCTCTAACAAGCCCTAATGTGCACTGTAGCCTGTGGAACTCTTGGCATATTGAACACAAAGAAGAAAGAGAGTTTGTTTATTCTGGCTTTAACCACATGTTATGAATACATTTGCTTTTAAATGAATTTCATAAAATATTAATGTTATATCAAACAGCAGAGTGGTGAGTATATCAGTCAGGAGCTATATTTATCTTATGTATTTGTTTTTTGTTTGTCTCTATTTATTAGTAGACAGTACATGGGCACAGGTGTTTCTCAGTTGAAGTGGCAGAACTTTAATGAACTGATGTTTCTGTCATCTGTGGTAAAGTAAAGTTGGCACAGAGCTATATGAATAACAATGAGGAGACCAGAACAATAAAAGAAAGACAAATGTTTCAGTATGAGGGGAAAAATATACGGGCTTTTTAGTTGGCACACAATCTAATATGACATTTTCTTACTGAAAATTAACAGTTTGTAAAATGGGTGAGGAAATGTTAACAATTTTTCCAAGATCTTATAAACAACGAAATTTTTCAAAGACATAAGTGACATTCTTAACCACAGTGTTCTTATTCTACAGCATAGGAAGAGAGTATCAGGGGCCTTAAGTTCTCCAAGATGGAAAAGAAGACCTGGACCCTCCCCAACTACATCTGCCTAGGGCCTGAAATATAAAAGGCTATCACAATGTTTGTGGAAAGTGGGAATGAATAACTGAATAAGTTGTTTTATTAGTGTCTGTATGCATATTTTGAATGGAAGGAAGGAAAGTTACCTATCACACCAGAGGTTTTCTTATCTATTCTGTCCTTTCATTCTTTGATATAAATGTCATTATTTATCCCTACTTTTACCAAATAGGAAATGGAGGCACATAGATATTAAGAAACCTTCCTCAAGATCATATAACTAGTATGTGGAGGAGAGTAGGGATATGAGAGCCACAGGGAGGAAGAGAAGGATTGTGTGTATATGTCTGCATGTGTGTACACATGAATGTTGGGTGAGATGATATGTGAGAGCTAAAAGTAAGTTTGTTTTTCAGAAAAATAAAATTTACTCTTGGAAGAAATTTTTTTTTTCCAAAATATGTTTAAGGTCTTACATCTCAGCATGACAGGCATTTCCATGACAGGGAAATGCCCTGGCTCTTTTGGGCTGGCTCGCAATGGATAATGCCCACTTGCCATGCACTTGTCTATTTGCCTAGTCACAAGACTCCCTCCTACTGGGTCTGTTTCTGTAGGAACCATAGATTCTTCCCACTGTTTATATCTACTTCCTTAAACATCTTAGAGAGCCACCTAGGGGATTCAGAGCTACCTTGAAGACATGTTTACAGGCATTGCCCCTCAGGCCTGTGTGATGAGCAGAGTAGTTTTCAGGAGTAGGAACTGCTATTGCTACCACAACTGCCCCTACATTATCAGAACTCCTTATGTAATACTTTGTTTGCAGTCTACTGTGCACTCTATAGCAGAGGGCAAAGGTGAGAGGTGGGGAAGTCAAAAAGCAGAATGCACTCCCTCACTTAAAGAACTTGCACTTGGATGTAGAGACAAAAATGTAAATGATGAAGTCAGTACCACCTTTAGACCCAGGCAATCAGGGCCTCTGCCTTGGGCCCACACCTCTGGACACCTCATGCTTTGGAATGCCCATCTTGATATTTTCTAAGTCCCCCTCCAGTGTCTGGAACTGACTAGGGCTTTCAGTGTCATCTAAGCAAGGAGCTCCAATCTCAAACTGAATCTATGTAGACACAAGTTCCCATTTCTCCCCTTTGGGGCACTCTCCTATCCTCTAGTCCACATGTGGAGTCAACTAGAAACACCTAAGACACTTCAGAACTCATGTCTTTGGGGTCCTCCCAGAGTCGTGGTTCCAAGAGAGTGTAACATGGTAAGTAAATCACTCCAATTGCCTGGTACAGTATTTCTTTCATGGTGTTCTATGAAATTGTGCCACCAGAATAATGTTAATGTTGATTTGGAGTGAATCTAATTGTGTATATAGACAAACCCCACAAAAAAATATTTGTTTGGGAGTCCTCATACATCCTAAAAGCATCTCGGAATGAAACAAAGGATGATATAAAATAAAACAAAATTCAGTGGCAACAGGTGTTGAACAAATACTTTTTAGACAGAGTTAAGAATAAACCAGAATTATCTGGAAGGGGTTCTTCAGGGAAGGTGGGCCTTAAGCCAGGCCTTGAAATATGGGGAAAATTGGGAGAGGCTCAAATGATTCCACATAGGTAGAACAACATGAACAAAGGCACAGAAAATATTTATTGAGCATTTTGTGCTATGCATTATGCTGAGCACATTACATTCATTGTTTTGTAACACCCAGGCCTGCTTCATCCCCAAAACTGTATGCTCTAAACACCATGCTCACTGCAAAAAGCCAGGAAGTGTTACAAGGGACAGCAGAGAGTGTGTGTTAGGAACTAGTGGAAGGCAAGAGCAATAGACAAGGCATAGTTATATTATGAAAGATCTTGGATGTCAAAATGAGAGGTAGAAACAAATATGCCCTGGTCAAACAAACAACCACATTCTGAAAGAAAAATGCTCGATATTTAAGACCTGGTCATACTAATATCATGTTTTCTTAAATATTTTTCCTCTATCTTAAAGAGACATTTGGTGTGAAACTTGTATTCTGCCTCCACTTGTCTTTGCCTGGTTTCATTTATTGTTCTCTCTTTCCTTTTATTTTTTAGACTTTGATCCTGCTCTTGGAATGATGACTGGAATTCCACCAATAACTCTAATGATGCCTGGCTTGGGAATAGTATCTCCTCCAATTCCACCAAATATGCCAGTAGTAAAAGAGATTATACACTGTAAAAGCTACATACTTTTCCCTCCAAGTCCAAGAATATTCTGCTTTTTCTCCACACAAGTCACAATGTTTTGGTGTTTAAGAACACTCTCTTTTTTTTTTTTTTCAAAAGAATACCCAAGGGCTTCATAGATATATTTTCAGAAACTTCGCCTAGAGACACAAGACAGGAAAATTTTCTCTTACTAGAAAAGGCTGAATTTTACGCACAGAGCAGTGGATTTTTGTGTGCTGGTTGCAGTATAAATGCTCTATAGTAAGGAATTCAAGTGTGTTAGTACAGAAAGAGTACCTAACACACATTGCTTAACACTATCATTTGCAGTCTCTCCTTTTTATAACTGGCTTACATTCTCATGACAGCAGAAATAGAATGTGATCTGAGCCTACCTGAGGCACATGAGAATATACATTTGGTGCTAAAAATCCTCCACTGCTACCAGCTATTTACACATCACTCAAACTACTGCTATTCAACTGATGAGCTGAGATAGACAGTGAGGTGAGCATCAACTTACAATGAGAGCAACGAGAAATATTGAAACTAACTCAAACTACTTGCAGCCATTCAGTCAATGCAATTAATGTGGAAATTATCTAGGGATCTATCTTTTCATTAATTAATAACTTTCTCCTTAGACTCTTAAAAACATCTGCAAAGATATGATATGGTAATCATATTTCAATATAAATGTAGCAGCAATAATAATTGACTCAAAGTTTTTTTCCAGATCTATTTGGAGTTTTACTTACTATAAATGATAAAAAGCTACTTTCTTCATGTGACCCAAATCTCATCAAAGCTTTTCCCACTGTTCTAGTAGTGTTGGATGGCCTGCTTAAGGGAACCACCACTTACACTGCTAAGAGAGTAAAGCTATTTGTTAAGGGATACACTCAGGGGTCCAGGCCAGAGAGCAAATGAATTTGCCTTACATGATAAACATGAACCTTTGACATGTGACTTTAGACAACTATTTCACCTCCTACCTTACATAGAAATCAGTTAATCATGGAATCAGACCCTGGCAGGGACCCAGATTCTACTTAGTATGGTCTTCTCATAACCTAAAGAATTTTAGGAGCAATCAAGTTTGGTTGGACAAATTATCTTGGCTCTTTTTGCTAGTAAAAAATGTTTTAATACCTTCTTCCAGTCTTTGAACTTGGTTGTCAGTAGGATAATTCTTTCCAGACAAATAAGAAATTTAGGAGGCCAGTATCTTAGAGGACTAAATTAGAAGTAGAGCTAGCATGTCACAAGGGAATTAGGGACTGGAGAATAACATGACCCTAGTAGGCTTTACCCGCTAGCTAAATTGGCCATTCCTCGATTTGTGTTCAGTGCCTAGGTGAATAAGTGGCACTGTTGTATACTGGTCTTTTACTCTTAGGGCCACTGTTCCTACAAATGGACAATGGAGTAATGGACTTTTTTTCCCATTCTTTCAGTGTGTTGCTTTTGGAATAAAAAAAGTTATGTATTTCTGATACTACTTTTTCACTTCAAAGGCCATGAATTTAGGCATTGTCAGTGTTAAAACTTCCTGCTTATGTAAAGGTAGAATCCTGCTGGTTTAATAAGTCATTTATCACATAATCAGCCTGCACTAGGCTTTCATAGTCTCAATAAAGTCTAACCTAACAAGATGGCTCATAATCTGTAAATCTAGGTGAGGTGCAAGGGATGACTTTACAGGATTTTCAGTTCCTGAATTTCAAAAGAATAGCACAGATTCCTTGTGTATAGCATGTAGACCTCATTGTTGAGCACTCCTTAAATGAATGTAGAAATACATTCATTAAAGAGGCTCTAACTTTCGAAGGTCTCTAATAAAAGAAACAGATATTTCTCAAATGAATTTATTTTTCCCTACTTACAGCCATGCCTTATCGGTTCCAAGTTGGAAGGGCCACAGAGCAAAAGGGAAGCATTTTACCATAACAGCTCAATCCCTTAGTTTTTCAGCTTTGTGTTAAGAAATCTGACAGGACAATTAATGCCAGTAAAGTGGTGGCTTCTGGGAAGGATTCTGGCTTTGGAATTGAAATACAAAAAAAAAAAAAATAACACTACTGACATAGCTTAAAGTAAACAGGTGTTCTATTTCCTTTTCAGAACTTGAATTTTTTAAAAGGGAGCTCAGTTTAATTGAGTGGAGAAAATACTAATGCAGAAGCCTCCCTTGGGTCTCTGCTGAAAAAACATGGTAAAAATGTCATTTTTATTAACAGCCCTAAGACTTTATGAAAGTGAAATGGGAAGAATAAGTGAGATAGGAAACGCAGAGATTTGATATGACTGAATCTCTTATCTTCTCAAGAGCCTACCAACTCTGTCTTATAAGGCCTTGATTATAAACCCTAGTGCTTACTCATACTGTCTCTGCTATATTCTCTTGCACTCAGTGGCCTCTAAGCAATAAAATCATATGATTTAGAGACTCTCACAATCTCTTTATGCACCCATCCAATCTGCTTCTGTCTTGTTGCTTCATTAAAAAGTATCTTTAGCATCAATTCCTTCCCCTTTCTCCCACCCGACACTTAATCCAGGTGCTTGTCACATATACAGAACCCTAAATGTCCTCGGGCCTCCATTGCCCACAAATTAAGAATCCAATTCCTGACTTTAAAAGCCTTTCATTGAGCTGCTTCATGTGACTGCCATCATTTCTGCTTGCCATTTACTTGCCCATTAGTCAAGTTCAACTGCTTCCTGATCTCACACTCCTCTCCAGCCCAACTCTAAATCTACCCCCTCCCAGAACGCTTCCAGGTAGAAGGTACTGAAATGAAAATAGAAGTTAATCATTCATCATTCTAATGCATTTCCATTTAAATATTGGGTGCTAAATCCAATGGATACTTTTTAGTCCTTAAATTACTTTGTTTCTGCTATATTTAGTACTCGTGATCACTTCATCCTTCTTGAAACATTAGGTCATTCGAAGGTGTTAAGAATGAATGAGACCACCAGGAAGATTATATAGATCAAGAAGGGAAGACAACCAAGCAAAGCACCTTGAGGAATTCCAACATTTCAAAATTTAAAGGAGCAATAGTAGTTTGCATTTATGCACACCCTTTAGCAGAGAAAATCCTCAAAAGAGGATTTCCAGTTCTTTCTCTCTTAAATCTTCATTTATGCTTTTGCTCCAACTTTCTATCAAAATGTCTCTTGTTTAATTTTAGTTTATATGCTACCGAAGCAAGCACGAAATGTCTCTTGTTTAAGAACACTGATGATTTTACAATATTAAATCCAGTGGTCAGTTCTCAGTTCTGTTCCTAATTGACATAATTGTCATAAATGATATAGTTGATTACTTTTTACTCATTGATATACTTTCTTCACTTGGCTTATAGAACACCACAGTATTGGTTTTTCTCCCACCACACTGGTTGGTTCTTCTCAGTCTCCTTTGCTGATAACCCTTTGTTCTCCCTAATTTCTTATCATTGGAGAGCCCTATGGCTCAGTCAATGGACTTATTCTCTATTTACACTCATACCTTTGATGATCTCATCCAATCTCATGGCTGCAAAACTATCTATATGCCAATGATACCCTAAATTATATTTTTAGCTCAGATCTTGTCCCTGAACCCCAAACTTATACCTTACTGCCTACCTGATATCTCCACTTAGATGTCAAGTAGACTTCTCAAACTTAATATGTTCAAAACAAAACTAATCTTTGCTGCCATACCTTCTCTACTAGTATCCTTCTCCATCTCAGACAGTGGCAGCTGCATCCTTCTAGTTGTTCAGGTCAAAGCTTAAGAGTTTTCTGTTAGAAAACTCTGTCAGGTTTACCTTAAAATACATATCTAAAATCCTACTGTTCTCATGATAACCACCGCTATGACTCAGTTTATATTCACAATTATGCATTTTCTGAACTCTTGTGATAGCCTTCTAAATGGTCTTCCTCTTTCACACTTTCCCCTTATAGTCTATTTTCAAAAGAGCAGTCAGTGCAGACCTTTTAAAACCCTTTAATGGCTTCCTATTTTATGCACAATAAAGGCCAAAGTTTATTTGATGCATTAGAAGGCCCCTTATGATCTTCACTCCCTCTCTGCATTGTCTCTTTGACTTTGTCTCCTACTACTTTTCTCCCCATTACTCACAGTTCCAGTTATACGGACCTCCATGCTATTCATGAACACACCAGGCAATCTTCCATCATAGGGCCTTTTGCAAT